CCTGTCCAGGTCCCTCTGGATGATAAATTTTCATGCTTCAGGAAATTGCTGGTTTCACCTGAAGGCAGGAAGCAGTGGGTATTCTATTGGAACCCTGTCCTGCATGGTCAGTGTTCTGTGACTTGCATTCCTGTTCGGAATAACATCAGCTACCAGGTACAGAATACTTCCTGATGTTTTGCGTATTTACTTAGGAGCCTATGAAATAAAAAAATGTTTATCTATTAAACCTTCCTCTGAAGAATAATGCACAATCCAGCAGCATAAGCATATTCTTACCTCTAAAGCTAACACTGTTTTGGGTACTGGTGGTCAAACACAAAGGTTTTTTTGCTCTGAATGGCCCAACTGGGAAGAAATTACGTTTTATCAAATATTCTAAGAAAATACATGTTTTCAAACACAGGGACCTGAATAGATAGGCTTTACTATCAAGGCCAGGCTGGATGAGGCTTTGAGCAACCTGGTCTAGTGGAAGGTGTCCCTGCCCATGGCAGGGGGGGTGGAACTAGATCATCATTAAGGTCCCTTCCAACCCAAAACATTCTGTGATTCTGTGATACTGGTGAAGACATCCCTCTGAGTAAGTACACTTATGTACACGTAAGACCATCTGTGTCAATGTCAGCCCTATGTGCATGTAACATAAGTAAGTGCCAATTCATCCCAATCCTTTCACAAATGAATCACTTTGCAGATGAAAGTGCAAACACAAACAGCACAATGCAATCCATTTGGGAAATGATTTGGGACATACTATAGTGACCAAGTTATGTTTCCCAGCCAAAACACTACCGTATTTGAAGGGAGAACGCTAAGTGGGGACATGGTTCAGAACCTTTTGCACTGGGTAACCCGGAGACAGGGAGCATAGCCTCATCTCATCAACAAGCTCAGCAGCATCTCCTGCTCTAGAGCATGGCAGCTAAGCCTCCAGCCACTGCCAGAGCAGCAGATGCTTTGTGTTTCCTGAGCTCAGTGTGAATTACCATCCAGATTAACGGTTTTAGATACAGATTGAATTTTTCCGATGTGCAATCAACTTGTGAAGGAGTTGTTCCATATGACATTACAAGAAAGCCATTGTCAGAATAGGGTAATCTCACTAAACGAATAGATGTGGATGTCTCAATGATGTGGCATAATTAAGACACTATTTCTTTACTTGCAGTCACATGAAATATTATCAGCACTCTTGTAGTTCAAACCAACATCTGAAAAAGATACCATCCATCCTCAATTTCCCTGAAGGTGTATTACAGAGGACATTGACAACTGTTCCTTGAAAATTCTGTTCTCTTTACATGTTCCTAAAACTGGAAAAAAACATACAAAACAAAAATTCTTAAGTAAATGTATTTATTATTTTGGGGGTTTTTTAATGCAGAAATACTGTTATTTCAAGTATAGTCTTACAATTCTGTTTCATTGTTCTTTATGCCAAAACAAGGGACAAGAACACCCTGGTCAACTGCATTTTGATCAGGAGATTCAAACTGTAGTTTCAGATATCTATTCAAAAATCTAATTGGTAGCAGGATCAATTATATTTGCACATGACATGAGAATCTGCCTCCAAAAAAACCCCCACTGAACCCATTAAGAACTCTTGCTGTCTTAACACCCTTTTTACACAGAAAAGCCACTTGCACATATGGAGAAAATAGATATTCAGGATATGAAAAGCTGGTTCTCAAAATCCATGTCACACTTACTGCTACAACATTAAAATGCAAATTAGTCTTCTAATATGGACAACCAGCTGTGACAGAAACAGCAACAGCTCTTCCCCCATTCCATAATTTGAACTATGTATAAATGAGGCAACACAATTTTCAGAATAGACCTCAGTTTCACCTGTCCATTGTTTTAAGAAGTTAAAAGCTTATTTCTTTATCAAGGGTAATGAAGCAACTTTCTACTCTTTCATATTTTATGTGAGTATGAAATGCCAAGACAGTGCTTTCATTTACTTCCAAGAATGCCTTGTTCATTAACTGGTGCAGCTCAGAGGTAGATATAGATAATGCTGAAAACAACTATGGAAAAATACGGTTTTATGCTGAAAACAATTACTTCTCTTAACTGCAACCTCTTTAGCATGGAGTAAGGCAATCATCAAGAGACAAGTGGGAACAGGAAACAGTTCTGTAGTTAGTGGCAGCTTCTTTCTTCCTTTGCACTAGTAACAAAAGCTAATGTTAAAGCAGTTATGAAGAGCCAAACAGATTCTCTACTTCTATTTCAACGATAGGATTTGCCTAAGTACATGTTACCCTCTGAAAATGAAACTCACATTGCACGACTCAAAAGTTTCAGCCTCTGGACCTACAGCTGGAGTTCTGACTCAACGCAACAGAGGACAGAAAGCAAAACCATCTCTTAGTTCTAGAGGTCGCCTCACTCAGGGACACCCATCCTGAGCACGTCCTAGAGGAATGATGCGCTCACCATCCTGAAATACCGAGGCTGAGTCGGGCGCCAGTTATCAACCAGGTTTTTTTTCGGCATTCTTGGACAGGCTCCGGAGCTTTGCCATCTGCCAGAGAGCAAAAAAATCACAGTGTCTTGATGGAAATCCCATAGGATCAAATCCACAGCTCAACATATAAACAAAGGAGGCTGGCCAAGCCCCAGAAGCTGGGGAGAAAGACTCCTGCAAAGTTGTGAAGATGTCCTTCATCCTATCACCGCAAGAACTGTACCCACGTTCTTTTCCTAGCAGTGATATTCTTAGAAATAGGACCCACTATCTGAACAGGACTGTGAAAAGTAGTCATTTATGTACCATCTACAGAGTGTGTACAGACAGAGAAGCTGTAGGAAGTCCTCAGAAAATGCAAATACAACAGCCTATGCCTTAATCCACCTCTCTACTGTAACCCTGCCCTAGTGTCTGATTGTTAAGAAGCCTCTGGAATGGCAAGGTGTTAGGGCTAAATAATAAACCAGTTGTTCATTTCTGTGGCGGGTCTGTAGCAGAGGACATATCCTGCTGCAGTGACACAAAGAAGTCCATTATTAATTAATAGGAAAGTAAATCTGAATAATGACTGGGTCAAGATTGCAAATGGTTTGTAAACAGGGTCAGCAGCTTGACTCCCCCAGTCTTTTTTTTTTTTTTAACCAAGGTATGGGGTTTTTTTGGAGGGATGCCAGGAGGAGAGTTCTGCCCACTCTTCAAAACTTTGTAATGCTCTGCTTTCTGATTTTCAAAGGATACAGCACATATACCCACTTACAGATACATTATGTTCATCTGGTGCCACTGCCAGGCACGACATCAGACAGAAAGTGCGTGGGCTGCCGTTCTGACACGTGACACTTCCCTGTTCGAATGGCTTACTGCAAAAAGGGTGCACGTGGTTTCCCATGTGTACACTCAAAAATGTAGCCCCCTGCGTGGCACACATCAGCTTTGTTTGCAACTAGCTTACATACGCTGATGTGTCTGCCTTTTCTGGTACAGCGTTCAAGTCCAGTAGAAGCAGAGCTTCTCTCTGGGCTGTAAAAGCTGGGTCCATGTGACTAGGCTAATTCCAGTTTATGGACTGGGCTAGCTGAGGCATCTCAACATTGGCCTTCACTACACGGCTCGGGAGAGACAGAGATCTCAGTTTGCCTGAACAACGATGAGGTCACATTTATAACCAGTATAACACTCACCAGCTGGATTATTCATCTGAAATTAAATTTCAGATTACAGATGAAGATTAATTTGTATGGGAACAGCAGGAGATGAAAATAGTTCATCAGTCTTGTTAATACTGATAAAGTACCATTGGAGAAGAGATTGCTGGGTTTTATTATTATTTGTGGAAGAACTGCTCCACTCAGTTAAAAAAAAAAAGTATATCTATATTCAGGCTATAGCTACATAAAGGTGAAAAAATTAGTCTGCGATCAGATAATGTTGTTCCGCAGTTAAATTCTTACCCTTTCATGAACAGTAATCTGAGCAGCTAGGCCACCCACTCTGCGTCTCACAGGGATTTCTGGTGAATTGACTTTTCCTGCAGAGTACTGATTCACAGTGACTGCACTTACCCTTGTGGCTAACATACTATTACCATCTGGCTGCAAAAGCATCCAAGCGATCCACTGTGAATGCAGACACACTTAAAGTAATTACTATTAATGAGGCTGCTGTGGTAGTACACTTTCCAGGATTAGAAATAATTGGTAACACAATCCTCGTTTATGAAAACATTATTTAGACAGCAGGCACTCTGGAGTGAGGGAAGTCTTTCTATTGTGGTTGCATTCAGTACCTCACACACACTGCCAACTCCACCCGACAAGTGGTTATCTCAGGGTAAGAGCCAATGTCCCATCTATATGCAGTAATTTCCTTTTGACCTTAAATGCTCTATTTTTTCCCACAATTACTCCAGTTTGAGAACAGTCTGTATGCTTCCCCAAACTGACTAACTTTAGATAAGCTGAAAAAAAAAGCCATGACCAAAAATACAGCAGTGATCAAAAAGTCTTTTCATGAAGCTGGATCAATGGTGTGATTAGTTATCCCTTTAAAAACCCATTTTAAATCAGAGATGCTCACTAATGACTACATGTTTCCCAATGAAATCTGTAGTTGATCTTCTGTAATATAAAGCTCTAAGCAGATTTATTTCATGGAAACCAGCCAGTATCTGTAATTTACACAAGTACCGGATTCAAAATAGCCCCTATATTTTAATTTTTGGATGGGCAAGGAAACAGGAGGCAGATCGATTCAATAAACTGTGAAAATTAAGCTGTAAGTTATATGAATACATTACCATATTTCATCTCCCGACTGCTAAGGTTCCCATCATACCTGAGTTCTACTCTTTAAAAGATAAAGAGTCACATAAATACAAAGTACTAGAAAACAGGGTTTTTTGGTGATACATGCACATCAATCAATACAGCAAAGCATCATATCACCTTGAGAATCTAGAAGGAGAAGTTACGTGTCTACATATACTATCTGCATAATATGTCAGTCACTTCAATAATGTTCATGTTCTCACTACCCTGGAGGCTTTAAGTTTGTGATATTGTATCCTGGGCTGTATCCAGAGAAGTGTGGCCAGCAGGTCAAAGGAGGGGATTCTGCCCCTGTACTCTGCTCTGGTGAGACCCCACCTGCAGTGCTGCATCCAGCTGTGGAGCCCCCAACATCAGAAGGATATTGACCAGTTGGAGCGAGTCCAGAGGAGGCCACGAAGATGCTCAGAGGGCTGGAGCACCTCTGCTATGGGGACAGGCTGAGAGAGTTGGGCTTGTTCAGCCTGGAGAAGAGAAGGCTCCGGGGAGACCTTATAGCACCTTCCAGTACCTGAAGGGGGCTTGTAAGAAAGACTTTTTACAAGGGCTGTTGTGATAAGACAAGGGGTGAATGTTTCAAACCAAAAGAGGGTAGATTCATACTAGATATAAGGAAGAATTTTTTTATGAGGGTGATGAAACATCGGCACAGGTTGCCCAGAGAGGTGGCAGACACCCCATCCCTGGAAACATTCAAGGTCAGGTTGGACAGGGCTGTGACAAACCATATCTAGCTGAAGATATCCCTGCTCATTGCAGGGGGGGTGGAGTAGAAAACCTCTACAAGTCCCTTCCCACCCAAAGCATTGTACAGTTATAGTCTCCTGAATAGAGGAATACTCTCAGATGAGACAACTGTCTTGTGTGGTGTGAGTAGAGTCATAGGCTGAAATGTGATGAAAGAGGGCATTCAAATTCCTATAAATGGGATTGAGGGTGAATGAGAATTAACAAGAAATTCTTCTTTATGGTAAGTGACCAGAGAAGGTTTTCAAATTAACAAGAAATTAGTTATCTGATGCTGCTCTCATTTGTGAGAATTTAGTTGGTATGGCTTCCAGAAACACAGGTATCAAGCACCTGATACAGCACTTCCAAAATTTTCCTGGTTACATTATCCCATCTAGAATGTGGGGCAGACAGAATCACCCGTGCCATTAAATCTGTATTCTGATAACAAGATGTTTGTGAAAGGAGCCTGCTGTAAGAGACACGTTTGCAAAGCAGAATGTTCAGAAAGTTGGCAATTCTCAGCTGCACTCGGTGAGAACACTGGACTCCTGCTTCATTCAGTGTGCGGAGTAGAAGGTGCCCGACTGTCCCACTGCATTTCACTGCAGATGGTCACCTTCTCACGGCAGTTTTACTCCATAATTTGTCCAGTGATTACCCACAAACATTCACCATGCTAAGCAATGAATACTTTATGTGATACTCTTTTCTTTAGTTGATGTCCCAAGAGGTCTCTTGCCCACAGGAGCAAGACCTCTCACATGTAGTTAAGTGCTGCCTGCTGTCACTCACACCCCAAACTGTTATAAACTCTTACCAGCTACACTGTGTTACAATTTTACTGATGTCTACAGCTCTCTGATGTCTGTGGATTTGAACCACCATGATGTCTGATGTGGGCTAGGAAATAATGAGCTGTTCCAAGTAAAGAAGGTCACTGTCCCTGCTAAATTAGTTAACACAGAATCATATGGAGACAGATAAAGAGATGTGTCTAATAGGTTGATTGCACATATTAGGCTGTAGGCTGCAATCCTCTGAAGTTTTTTTACAGGTTCCCTATGGAGTCCCGCGGTAGTTTCTAAGGCATTCAGTTCTTCACTGTCCTTTTAATAATTTCTCATCCAATGAGCATTTTCCTTGTCAAAAGCGTAAGATCTGGTTATGGCATGAAACTAAAATGAAGGGGGTAAAATATTACCTATTTGAAGTTTACCTGGTCTGAGCTGACTATGATAGGCTCTCTAAGAACAATCCAGGTGATGCACTCTTCGCAAGGTGGAGTAGTGAAAGACCCATGGTATGTCCAGTAGTCATGAGATTTAGGGAAAAGAATTGAAGGATCAAAGTTTTGAAAAGGAGCTTCTTTCCCCTTAAAAAAATAAACACAAATAAAACCCAAACAGAAAACTCTTCAATAGCCTAGTCAAGGTTAGGTAAAGATGCAGCTCTGGTATTTTAAGAAACTGAGACTCAGATACTTCAAAGGTACAAACTAAGGAAACTGAGCACACATCCACCCCATTCATAATGATGCAGTGTAAAGACAAGTGGACTGAATGACCCTCACAGATGGGCCCAGAGAAGCGTGACACAACATACAGCTCCATGATGCTACTCCTTGTACCTGAGCTAATTCATGTGAAGCGGTGTCCAGTACCACTGTGCTTCACTTGTTTCTGTGCAGAAATACTCAATCCTGGCCTCCTTTCTTATGGGAATTCTGCCTTTCTATCATCTATTGTATATTGCATTAGATCACCATATAATGAAGTCAGACTTCAGATACTCTAGATTTATGGTATTTGTGCTGATAACAAACAAGATAGCCTATGAAATGTACATTTATGGTGAGATCCCCATCACATAATGTTATCTGAGACACAGCGGTCGAGTCAGTGCCATTTCCAGCGGTCCATTAGGCAGCCTATTTCAAGACTGAATGGACCAATTTCCAAAGATTCCTTTTTTTGTCAGTGACCACTCAGGGAATAAGACTTCATGCCTAGTTTTCAGGTGAGTAAAGTTTGGTGACATTACTTTAATTTGCACAGAATTCTAAGGCCTACTAAAGCCAAAGAAGGCTTATATGTAAATGGAAGAAAATACTTTTCTTGTAAGAAAAAATGACTTATAGTCTAGGTCACAAGTATATTCTGGCAACGTCGCAGAGCAGAATTTGAAAACTAGAAAGTCATGCCTCTTGATTTTTTTTTTTGGCCCTGAGAATTTACAGCAGTCTTGCCCCTGCCCATGGCAGGGGGATTGGAACTAGATGATCTTTAAGGTCCCTTCCAACCCAAACCATTCTATGATTCTTACAATGAACAGCCCAGCATCATTACCTTTGTCTTGATAGCATTTATTTCTTCAAGAATTCTCTTCATCTCTGGTTTAGGAGTTTTCCCTACCTGTAAAGAAGAAAGCATGAGCTAACCAAAGAGTTCTGCTTGATCGGTTTTCGCCTTTCTCGTATTTTTTTATACGTACATCTAAACATATATCAACTATAAAACCACAATGCATTAACCCAATCTGTCACTCCTACCAGCTTAGTAAGTTATGTCATCTCTCTGTACCAAAACAGATATTATGGTCCACATGAGGATATTTTATCAGTACAGAAACTCAGCATCACAGGTAATTTCACAATACAGCTAATCCTGTTGACACTGTATTCTAACTTAACGAGGAGAAACAACTCTTCAGACTCAAATAAAGAATTTGGGAAAAGTTTCACTCTAGTTTAAAATTCAGATTTCATGATCAGACCTACTGTTTGCAATTGCTGATCTGAGACAGACACCCACCTTTCCATCTCTGGTGACTATTAATTAAACAAGAGACTGCAAAGGCCAATATTTCAGGCTAAGACTGCATGCACCCAAAAGGAATTTAAAAAAGGATGAGTTACATGTGTTGTCTGTGAGTTAGTTTTGCCTGGGAGAAAATTCATGAAAAGCCTAGGCATGGTATCTGTCCTTGAAATCCATCTGTGATTAGGATGGAAGACAGCTGACTGCTGTTGGTCAGAGGGCCACTACTGACATCGTGTCCCCAAACAGGGGCAAATACATCTGGATTTACAGCTTCCACCACCCACACAGTGACACAATAGCTGCTGGGGCAAGTGTGTGTAGTATTGGATACTATCTGAAATAGCATGACTCATGCTCTATATCTTGAAAAGCATACACTACTGAAAGTCAAGGCCTTCGATGTCGTATGATCCCGAGAAACTATATTCAGAGGGTTTTGGTTTTTTAATCCTGTAAGAATAGAAACCTCTACAGTAGCAGTACAAAGACAGGTCGCGTGTTTCTACTTACTTGCAAAAATATGGCCAAAACAGCTATTCCATCAGTTCTTCTCACAGCATCAAGGTAATTACTGTATTTGGGATTCCAGTGTAACAAATGTAGCTGGAAACAAAAAAGAACATGTAAAAAAAAAAAAAATTCCTGCATAGCAAGCCATCAGAGGATGAATTTAGAGTTCCTCATATACATGACTGTTTGGGGCAACAAAGAATGAGGATTAGGCCTTTGAAAAAAAAGAAAAAAGAAAAAAGGGGACAGCAGTTCATATATGAGTTGTATCAGCCATATATTACCATTTAGACTGCTATTTGCTTTAAAATAAACATCTTAACACAGAAATTGCAAAACAAGAACAGGAGTCTCGTCTTAAAGCTGAAGAACACTGAAAAGAGGCTTAAATACGCAGCTAGAACATGCTTCTCAGAAGTGATATTGATATGTGATTCATTTCCATTTGGCTTTCAAGTGACAGCAATTCCAGCAAAGAATCCTTAAGACTGTAAACTCTCTCTGTTACCAGTCTACAGTTCTCATCTTCCCTTACAATCCTATAGTGGTAGGAAACGAAGGTAACACATGCTTCCTCCTTTCTGTCGCTACAATGTTATACATGTGCTGTAATACTATACTTCCAGAATACTGTTTTAGCAAGTTTGCATTGCTTCTCAGTAATTCAGTCATGTTGTCCTATGTTTCAAGCCATGTTGGTTTGAGAACATGGAAACTTTTGTTTCACATAGTATTTTTCTTTTCTTATGCTGTGAGAATTAGTTCAACCCGATTCATATTTATAAGCATCGATGGGAGTAAGAAGAAAATGCCACAGATAAACACAACTCCCTGGAAAGCAGACAAAGACAAATTCTGTCCCACCTGAATAATAATGACAAATGTTATTTTACACACTGTTTCAAAGTAAAAAAGTGGTGATTCTTACCTCTCCTGCATATCTCACTCCGTTCACAACATGCTCGGAGCCATGGTCGTCAGATGAACCCCAATGGAAGTGAAGCTGACGCAGCCTGTACACTCCTGGAAGTGGCCCACCTCTCAGCACTGCAATTGATAATCTGCATCAGCATTAGATTGGGGTATTTTCCAATTTTATAAAAAGAAATATATGTATTCTTAAAATATTTACACATATATTTACATATTTACTGTACAGATGTTCGATGTTCTGAATGTACTGAATACCTCTTGGAAATCTGCACTGATTTTAGCAGGAATTCAGGCAACCATCTTCAGCTATATGCACTTAAGGCAGATGAAAATGATTTGTGTCTAGAGGCTTCCATTATAGTCAGTAGAGATCATTGTTTTAATTCAGCCCCATAAATGTGAATCTATCGCCATCTGGGATATGCCAAAAACACCTGGACAGGACAGGAAGATGTGATACAATGTCTGTAGAAGGGCTGTATTTTTTTAAAGCAGTACCTGGAGGCAAGGTGAAACACATTGGGCTACCAAAAATGGCATGAAGATGCCTATGATTAGGCAACTGGATTAAGACCCTAGCCAAACATTCAAGCCTCTAGAGTAATCCTGCTGGTCTTACGGCAGACACTCATCAGACTGTGACCTGAATTGCTCCTTGGACTCAACTGACTGTGACTCCATCTCTGTTGACTAGAATGGGAGTTTAGAGGCATAGTCCACCTACGTTTAAAAGGCCACATAAGACACCTGAATTTAGGTGGCTTAATGTCCCCTATGAATTCCTTCTAATACCTACCTATATCAAAGCACACAAAAATAGCCATGATTAAGACGAAAAACTGAAGTGCTAGATGATTAACAAATTCCCACAAAATGCTACAAACCGTGTCTCTTACTGCAGGCTATGCCTTATTTGTTTAAAAATCTATGAAATTACTGATGCTGCTTCTGCTATAATGGCTACGCTCTCTGGCTGTGGGAGAGGAGAAAGAAAACAGAATCTTAAAATCTTTACATTATGTACCAAATGAGAGTGGTGTGTTTGAAAGGAACTCACAATAAAAAGGGAAGAACTTCTTCACATTCACCAAATACTAATTAACATTCAATCATCATTTATTTTATTTGCACATAGAAGTCATAGCATTCCTATAAACCATTCAGCAGCTCTCAAGAACAGGTCTTTATATGCTATGAAAAGAAAGGAATGAAATCCATGATCATCTGAAGAAATGAAGTACTAGGAGTATTCTTTATTGAACATTAAGAGCAAGCTGTTATTCCCAACAAATTCCTTTTACTTGTTCCCACAGACATTCAGTACTGTGGCTGATGAGACCTGGTAACAGTAGTAGCTGACAAGGCCATCAATTGTCCATTAAAATAGATCTGTAAGACCAAATAATCCAGTTTAAGGTAAAAATGTGTCATTATTTCCACTGATGGGCCATCAGCAGTCATTTTCAATTGGGCCTTAGGTGAAGCTCTGCATCTATTCCTGCTTCACTCATCTATAAATAGACAGTAGCTTTTACTTAGCACACTTTAAGCAGACAGAATGATGCAAAGACTAAGATGCCTATAAACCAGCATCGCCTGAAGGATAAAAAGGTGTTTTCTTTCTCTTAATTGCAAGTGCGTAGTACAAAGCATAAAAAACCATGACAACATACGTAAATGAAATTACCCCATGCTTTAAAAAAGATAAAGCAAATGAAACAGTTACAAGGATGAAGAATATCTAAAACATTAAAAATCCTGAACTATGTCGGCATAGCTCAAAGTCAGTAAAAGAAATAATTACTTTTTTTAAAACATGTGGCTTGGAACAGAAATTCTAAAGGTACCTTTATCCTCTTGGGTTTGGTTTTCAAGAAATGCTAACACCGACAAAAACAGACCCATATTCAAGTTAGAAAAGGGATACGAGGTAAAAGTTCATAAAAGAAACTATCGTACCTTTAAACTGTTTTTCAGCGGTGTTAAAATATAGCTTTATTTTTATAAATTTACATATTTATATGCAACACGGAATTGGTCTAACAATTATTACATAGGAAATGTTCACTTTAAATATCCAAGACTCCCAGTTTTAAGGCTGCGTCAGCTGTTTTCCTACCACAAAACACTTAGGAAAGGATGCTTTTCTAGAAGGTCCCATGACTCGCTCTGAGCTTCTACCTAGGACTACTGACACTTTTGAAGCAAAAGCTTTAAAAAAGGAGCCTGCAGGCTCACTCCCTGATACATGGGCAACCAGTTTTTCTCTTAGTCCTCTGAAATAGTGCATAATCCTTTTCACATGGCTAGCTGAATGACTAGACTTACTTCTCAGCATTGGAAATGTGGCATTTCTGTTCCTGTTTCTGCTCTACAGGAAGTAACAGGATGGCCACAGCAGACTCACCAAGACATAACTCCCTTAAACTTGTTGTCATTAAAGCAACAGGGCCCGGCTGCAGGAATATACAAACCAGACCAGGAAGACAAGGGAGAAAAATATTCCCTCCTTTTAGGTGCCTTATTGTTTGCAAACTCTCATCCCATTGCTCAGTGATGGTCTGTTCTTATTTGGGTTTGCACGTGGCCCTCCACCAGTGCTGGATACCAGACATTAAAATCTCATGTCAGTGTGAAGCGCTTGCACAAACTCCACGTCCCTCCATCCACACCAAAGAACGGTCTGTCACCAAGTGATCCTACATGTACACACACACGGGCGTCAGTTCCAGTAAAAAAGCTCACCTTCTATGTGATCCACCATAAACTGAGCAGCGTGAGACAGAACTGGCTAATAATGTTTTTTCTTCTCTCAATGTAACCACTGAGGCAGATGTTTACCCCAGCGAGGGCAAGTGTTGTGCTGGAGGATGTAACTACAGTGAGAAAAATGCTGTATCTCACTCTGTGTGTTTTCACAGCAAAACGAGAAAAACGCTGTATCTCACTGTGTGTTTTCACAGCAAAACAAAGATGTGATGCAGTTTGAGTGGAGATGCCCACTCCACTTTACCTCAGTTAGCAGTGTGTCCTGAGCAACAAAAATCAGATTCACTAAGGTTGGAAAAAACCTGTAAGACCATCTAGTCCACCCATCAACCCAACACTACCGTACCCACTAGACCGTGTCCTCAAGCACCATGTCTACACGTTCCTTGAACACCTCCAGGATTGGCGACTCCACCACTCCCCTGGGCAGCCTGTTCCAATGCCTGACCACTCGTTCCACCCACTTGCCGAGCAGCCTAGGTGGGGGTCAGGTTGTTAATCTGTGCTAATGTCAACTGTCACCTATGCTCACTAAAGTAAAACTGGCAGAGCTATGCCTACACCAGTGTCATCCCTGTTTGCTGTGAATGCATACCATGAAAGTCAGGTGGAAAAACACACAGAGCACTAAACAGGCTCAGGAGGTGAGGTGTGTTTATCAACATAAGAAGAACTAACTGTTCTTGTAAGATTTATGATCCTCACATCCTGCCAAATCAATAAAATGAAATGGTAAACCACAATGAAATTAAATTAGTATGGTCTTACTGCATGACAACAAAAAATCCGTTACCCGTCTTATGCTGCTTTATGACAGAATCTAACAGTGCAGTATAAACCCCACAGCTTTTTAATGTCAGTGCCACATTTTTAATGTTATAAAAAAGCCTCTGCTCAAGAAGATCTCTGCATTGAAACACGCTGGCTAACTGCAAGGATAAAATGTATTTGGAACTAGATAATCTTTAAGGTCCCTTCCAGCCCAAACCGTTCTATGATTCTATTTCCTAAAATCTTTTGGAACACTTTACACAGTCCTCACTGAAATTTGCTTCAAGCAAACACCGAATAGATTTGCAGAAGAATTACTTTTGTCTGTATTTGAACGTTGTACTCTTACAGGGGCAGACTGAGAAGTGTCTGACATAAGTCTGGCACCCACCCTCACCTGCACTGCAACACAGCTTTCCCAGTTTCATGTCTGTTGATGAGAGCCTTTTCATCAGTGAGCTCCCACATCACCGTTGTGACCTACGGCAGGGCTGAAATCCCCATCTCCAGGGACAGAGAACTGACAGTCCACTCTGTAACTGTAGCCTCAGCAGGCCCTTCAAGCATTTTTCCCCTCTAACAATCGCACGGAAGTTCAGTTAACAGCAACTCAGCTCCTAAGTCCCCTGTACCCAGGCTCTGCAGTGCTCATATTAACACTCAGTACCATCACGCAGACACTACAGGATGTTAAACACTGAGGGAAGAATTTAACTTTGCTGCCTTTTGCAGTATGCCGTATAGCCACGGAGTGGAATGTTCCACAGCTACACAAACACTGAGATTTAGCTGTGCTATTCTTGTAATACCGACTGATTTGTGCCAGTGCAAATTCAGGACACAAAATGTTAAGTAACTTTTTGCTGGAATCAACAAAAATGTGTCTCTGGACAAACTTTCCATTGTTTTAATTAAAGTTACTGGGGTTTGTCATTGGTTTAGAACCCGTCAACAAATAAATGTTTATTCACCATCACCTGATAATCAAAAACCCATTTGCAAAGTTCAGTGACATTTCCCACAAAACGGTACTCTAGGGAATGTTGTCCATAAGCACTAGTCATGCTAAAAGAGACCAATATGCAACAAGATTTCACTGCTTACAGTAACAGTCCCTTTCCATTGTTTTTCATCATCCACTTCCAAAGGCAAGAAATTACCATCATCCTCTTCCTTCAACAAGAAACTGAAAGATTCTGCAAACAGCATCAAGGTAACCTTGTACTAAAGTGTGGCTGCACTGAGGTACTCCAAGCCCTTAAGTGTCAGTAAAAAGAGAAGTAGGAATCTGTTTGGCCAATGAACTTCCACAGGAAGTGTCAAGGAGATACCACAAACAAAGTGAGAAGAAGAAAGGCATCCATCTGCCATTTGATGTAGCCTTTGTGTGTCCCTCTCCAGCTGCTGTGTCTGGATCCCAGCACATGTATCTACTGCTCATTAAAGGATTGAATGCTTCAATCTAACCATCTATCCACAGGTATTATAAAAAAAGCCAAAGGGTCATAAACTGTAAGGAAGTGACAAGCTACCGATCTCATACACCATGACAATGATCCCACCAGTTACGTGGTCTCAGGACACTTCTCTGGCACAAATATTTTTGGAATTTTAAAAGCAAATGGGCTCTCCCAGTAGAAATAAGATTGCAGCCCTAATTCAAAACAAAACCAGAGTCACTGCTGGATCTAAAAGAGTATCTGAGTTGCCATTCAGGCCAAAATACATAGTGGTGGTAAGGCTGCCAAAGTTCTGGTATGGGTTTTATTGTCGCCATCGCAAGCTGGCACAACTACCAAGGAGATTTTGATTTCAGCTCCCAGCTCTTTCCTGGGTTTTGAGGCTCCAACCTCGACCTGCAACGATTTTACCGTGCTTAAGGCCCTTCTCCCACACAGGTATGGTAAGACAGGCAACTGAATCCACAACAATCCGTTAACTTGTACAGAGAGGCAGCAGAGGCGTGACACACCTCCAAAAGCAAGAATCTGTCATCAAAGCCTTCAGCTGTATCACAGATTCTTAGAGTCAACCAGACTTTATAAATAGCTGGAGGAAAATTCTCCCATCCCTTCCACATAACTAACTTCAAAGATAACAGCAATAAAGCCTTTTTCAGCATATGTGGATTACATTGGATGGCACTTTTCTGGGAAGCTTCTCTCTAATCACTTGACTTTACAAAAACTGTCCCAATGGTGAATATTCAAAGTATTCCTGGCAGAGAAGACACAATAGGAGTAAAACTTGGGGACATCCAAAGTAATTCATTTTATCACTCATCTTTGCAAGTTATTCAGCAATCTACTTCATCTGCCACTAATGAAAATCTAGATATAACTACAGATATGGGTATGACCAGTCTAACTGAAAAAGTCAGGAAAATAAAGGAAGCCCTTAGTTTTTAGTTAACTCAGAAATAACTTGGATATATAGACAGAGGGACAGATACATAGACAGATAGAGAGATAGAGTGTTTCTGTTACACAGGAATAAAAGCTGCATTCCTATATGACTGCTATTTCATATGTATGTATTACGCAGCAGGTAGGTTTTTTACAGAAAAAATAAGTCACTGTACCTATCGTAAAGAGCTTAAAACATGCTCAGGTCAGTAGGAATATTCACAGCAGCTTGGTCCTGCAATTAGCATTAAGTTAGAGAAGGAACACCACCCACAGACTCTGCAGGCAATGCTATAACAAAGGAGACATAACAATAAACACTGAATGTTTCTTGCTTTCAAAGAGTTGAGAAATACACCTACTTTTTTTCCAGTGAGTCACTTTTTATTTCTGAGATCAGAACACAAAGCAGTTCATCTGAAAAAAATTTCAGAACATTCCCAAACTTTCTGCTCTTGGCGGCCACAGCGTTGCAGCCACGCTGTAGACTGCTGTGCCTGAATACTCCCTCCCGTGCAAAAACTGAGTGACTAATTACTAACTACTAATAACTATAACCAATTACATGACATTTACACAGAAGATGCAACCAATGATATATCTGATGCTGTTCCAACAAATAACAGGGATGGTAAAATATGGTAAGTGATGGCCATGAAGGTCTTCTCTTACACCACAGCTATATCCCTTTACTGACGTATCGTGTTATCTAACATTAATAATATTGTTATTCAAATAACATTTAGCTAATAAAGTAATCAAGCTCTTGATTGCATAGTCATTTGTGAGTTTTGATAACGTATTAACTAGTCCAGCTTATATACATTTAGATTTCCAGTTTTCATGAAACCCAGGTGATTCATTAAAAATCCATTACATTAAATCCATGCTTGTAGACAATGAAGATCAAACAACCTATTAGTAAAATTCTCCTAGTAATTATAGCTGTCAATCCCCCTCATATGGTAATAGAAATTGGAACTTTTAATGCAGTTCAGAAGTAAGTACACCGTGGAAGACAGGCTTTTCAATATTTTACTGAAATTGACATTTCTTTTTCCTTTTCTTACCATCCCATGTACTATAAATAACACAATTACATTGACCTTGATACAACAATAGAGTGAGGTGTGCATTTGATTTTTCCTTTTTATCTCAGTACTAATGCAATTTCATACTTCTTTCAGTAATGTTTTTTCCTTTGAAATACAGCCAACAGTATGAACATGAAACGTCAGTGGTTCTGCCAACATAAATGAAATATTTCTCGCACCTGTTAAACAGAACAGACATATCTCTTCAAAATATATAACCCCACTGACCCTAAAAAGCTATGCATTCATTAGGAATGCATCACACTGCATGTTGTCCTAACTATGAGTGGATAAAAGATCTTGGACATTAAAGCTGAAACACTGGAATTTTTCAGCTTTATAATCCTCATTAAGACAAAATCTCATGATTGCCAAAAGGAATTTTAACTGATTAAGTACCGTGACTTTCTGGCAACATCTGGCTCATTACTTCATTTATCAGAAATTATATGAGTACATTTTTCAAACATTGTACCTTCAGCCATATACACGGTTAAAGATGTTCTTCTGGGCATCTCAAATAGCCTTGAACGGAGGAACTGAGTCCTCACAGACAAAGCCTGGACTCCACGCTCCTGGAAAGCAACACAACTGCAGTGGCTTTTGCAAGTGCAGAAATTTACCTTACATCTTTATTCATCCTGCAACAAGCTTCTTTGCAGCTCTCTCCATCCCCTAGGATTTTACCTATGTACTTTAAAAGTAGTCACAGCCCTTTTCCATCAGTTGCGTGGGGCACTGGAGTCACAGAAACCTGTACATCTCATGCAGGCAGGACACAGCGACCTTCTGACAGCCATGAGCATTCAGAGCACACTGTCTTGCGGGAGTCACTGACATACAATGACAGCTTGAGATGAAAACAAAACTAACCTGATCTATCGAAAGAATCATCAAATACAACTCTGCAGGTTTTCCCATTATTGAGGATGGTCCTGGCTGCACCAGGATCGTAACTAGCAAACCATGGTAGTAGGGAGCGATCGTAATGCACTTCTTTGTTATTGATTTCAATAGGTGACTGATGGCGTCCTTTGGCAATCGGGTAATTTTTGTGCCACTGATCTGGTCCTAGAAAAAAATACAGAGAACTACCTTGAAAATCTTTTCCAGTTAGGTACGAATTATACTTGTATTACAATAAACGCAAGCTTGGCTTTGCTTAGCTACAGAACATCAATTAGTAGGTTACTAATTACCTGGTTGTGAGTCATGACCTGTCAAGAGCTGCATTGTATAAAAAACAATTAGGTCATTGTAGTTGGAATATTAGATACTGCAAGTCATTTGGCTGAACCTAACCTCTCATAGCAACCTCAGGACTTCACTTATTAGGAGGATGACAATACACCAAGGAATGAACCTAGAGGTGTATGCTCCAAGTCCAGCAGTGACTAGAAAGATGATGGGATAAACCCAAACGTGGCATCATCTACCCATCTGGAGAGAGAAAACACCAGTGATGTCTGAAGATGATGAAATGCAGATTTTGTTATTGCCACGGTTTTGTCACGAACTTCATGTGGGAAAAGCCTGGCAGAGGCCGTGCTGTTCTGAGCAGGAACAGCAGGCTGCCCAGGTTCCCAACCCTGGCAGGCAGGAGGGATGGCGGCTGCACTGCAGACCAACACTGCTCTTCCAGCATCAAGGCTCACCTAAAGCTGGAGTTTAAACCTAAGCCATATTTTAAATTATACTAGCAGTAGAAAAACTGACTTTACCTATAAACCAAGAGACCTCAGCTGTCACCTCCCCTTCCACCTGCTTCACCTCCTCCACTCCAGCGAGATGACCCACACCACGGGGCCACGCTGCTGCTGCACAGACCAAGGCCTGCCCAGAGCCCATATTCACAGATTCACAGAGTGGCA